TTTTATTCAAATAATAAACAAGTTACAAGCTTTTTGTAGTCAATTAGTTGCAATATAGCATAGGTCTGGAATGAATATGCCGTAACTCATGAACCCCTAAAGCAACTACAAAACGCGAACACCGTTTTTTAGAACAACCTTTGAGAAGAGTAAAAATGATATTTTTATAGGATTTGAGTAAAACCGGCGTCTAACAAACTTCACGGCGCGGAAGTATCGCGATTCGGCAAATATCTAAATAAGTATTTCTTCTTTCGTATGTGTGATAAGAACATCTTATACTACATTTATCTAACTACATTTGGTGAAAATTTGATGGAATTTGGATTAAAATTGATCGAGTTACAGCGGATCTCCCGAAAGGCATGTCTAGGGTATCCTGTAACCTTAACTTCCTTTTACAAGTTCCCAACTTCCTGTTCTGTTCTGTGCGTTGTATTGGCTAACAAAAATAATCCACCAATGACAACACTCAGAACAGAACACAACACAACACAACACAACGCAACACAACACAACAGGAAGTTAGGAAATTGAAACAAGAATTTAGGAAAATTTAAAGGAAGTTTCTAGTTCTGCATTGGAATATTGCAACAGCCGTTAGGTCAGGGCCGTAGGAAGCTCCTTTCGATTGTGGGGAGGGGGGGGGGGGCTGAAAGCGAGTTAGGGCCGAAGACCAGAGGAAATTTTTAAATTTAGAGTCTCTGTCTGAAATGCCATTTCCTGGACTTTGAAAAAAGAATGATTATTAGCATATTATTGGGGGGGGGGGGCTGCAGCCCCCCGCCCGGTTGCTACGGCTCAGTATAGGCACATTGCAAATTCTTTCATTTATTTTGTGGTCCCTCACTATTGTCACATAGTTTTTCGATTACAGCGCGTTTTAGAACGATTTAACTAACCGGTCTTAATGCTAAAAAAGCACTAAAAGAAATCCGTATAAAATCAATATATCAAATATTTTGATATTTGAACAGCGACATCATGTGCAGTCATCAATGGTAAAACTAATCTGTTTTTGGTGATGTGTACCCTAAATATTATCTGTCTTCTTCAACAGGTTTTATGGCCGCCGTTTTGCAGGAGACACTGGAAGATATCAAAATAGTGAAAGGGATAATTTGAAGTACGAGAGAGATTCGTATACGGATCAAGATAGGTTTCCAAGCCACGACGAGAGGCACAGATCCGAAACCGATCTTAGTTATGACTCACGATTTGATAGCTATCCTAGGAACAACGACAGGTTTCATAGGGAAGAAAGGAGACATGAAATTGATCGTCGGAGACGAGTAGATCATCGGGATGCTGGAAGATATCGTCATCCACACTACGATGGAAGTTACGAGAAACCTGCAAATTACAGAGAAAGAGACGATAGGAATAACAGCAGAATGCATAATAGAACAGAACTCCGAGTCGAGATTATAGATGGAAATAGGAATACTGGAACAACAAAGAGTATTGATAAGCCCAGAGAAACCTAGAGAGACTTCTAAATGATCGTGACGATCAAAACCAACAGTCGTAAAATTAGTTTTTGTCCATTTTTTAACCATCCCATGTTGAATTTAGCTTCATGTCAGGGCCGTACGCAACGGGAGGCAGCAGTGGCAACTCCCCTCCCCTCCGCTCCACTCCCCTCCCCTCCACTCCACTCCCCTCCCCCGAGAAAAATAACTTACTAAGTTTTTAATGTTATTATTGTGAGTCAGAATGTATGATTCTGTATGGGGCGGCCATAAGCATTCATGTAACTGATAGTACTTTGAATGCATTGACATTTGGGTATACCTATACAGTACTACAGGTATTACTGCCTATTGGTGAAAAAATTCTGCGTACAGCCCTGCTTCATGCTGAGTTTTAACCAAACTTCGTTATCTTTTTTAAACGAATGTAGCAATCACTGATGTATATGCAGGTGAAGTAGAAACAGACTTTAGAATAATGAAATATTATCGTGCCAAGTAACAATCTCTAAGATGCACTGATATATTAATATTCTTGTCATATAGCTATAGGTACATTTTTATTTTATCGAAATTTAGTATTACAAATAGAAAAACATACTTGTACAGTAAAATAAAAACTACTTACATCAAATGGTATATGCATAAAAAATTACAAGAAGCCCACCTATTTATTGTCTATCTATAATATATCGACTCATAGTACAAAACTACCAATTTAATGGTGTGTGTTAATTGTCACTTCTACAGTTTTGACCTAATGTTCTAAGTGGTCAAAAAATTGAGATGTTGCATTTGGTGATCTATACACTGTTGCAATGATAAATGGACAGCTAAATTACTTACATAAATGACATAAAGGCCCGTTTACACTATGCTCAATTTTGGTACCCGTACCATTTTTATCCGTGCGAGGACTACCTATTTACAAAGGCCGACTGGCCGAGCACGGATAAATTTGGTACGGGTACCAATTTTATCCGTGCCGTACCAAAAATTGAGCGTTGTGTAAACGGACCTTTAATAATTTTAACACATCAAGCAGCCTCTAATTCGGGTGGAATTGAATTATTTCCAGGATTTCTTTTATTGTTGGTAAAACAACCAGGAAGACAGCACACGTAAAACCGCCACTTCTTTTACTATAGTACTGGTTGATTAAAGCGGACTGTTGCCGTTACTTTCAGGCCTAGAGCTGTCAAAACCTCTGAAGAACCGTGCAATGATTCTGAAAAGAATTAGGGTCTTCGTTAATTGGCACTAACAGCCTCTAAGACACGACAAAGAACAGCAACACACTCGCATTCGACAGTGCATGGCCATGTTGGTTGTTTTGAATTTTCCCGCCGTGACTACGAAGACCAGAACTCCCCGTGCGCATCACGCCTCGTCACGTCATTATGCATAACCTCTATTCCTCAAGTAGTTTTTCCTTCCCGGAAATAATATACATCTTTCCAATCGAATTGCTTTTACCAGTTTTGGAAGCTGTTTCGGTGCTTCAATCTCGGTTTGTCCTAAACCAAGTCGCTTTAATTGAATATATGAATGACGTCAACTAATGACGGAAATTTGAACGAAGACGATGTAGAAAATGAAACCAAGGAAAGGAGACCAATATGAGGAACACCTACATGGATAAAATATGCATGTATGAATAAATGGTGATTGCTAGATAGTATACTTCAAAATAAGGTTTCCGTTTTTATAACGTAGAAATAACTATCCTAACGCAAAACTAAACCCTAACCCCAGCACCAACCCTAACCCCGACGTAACCCTAAGTAACTTGTTTCAAAAATTGATATAAAAACGAAAACCTTATTTTGAAGTATACTATCTAGCAATTGTCATGAATAAATTCAACGCCCTTTTAAATGAAAATGGCAACAAAAATTATGTTTGCCTAAGTTGAAAGGACGTTACTGATTATTTACAAATCCTTTTTGCAAATTCGTACAAATAATCTTGAAACCAAAACAGATCCTGCCATCCGCCATATTTTATAATTAGATCTAATTTTGACGCGTCACAACCAGGGTAGATAGTTTAAATGAAATATTATCAGGGGAAAGTTAATTTATACCTAGCTTGTGCTTTAATTTTAAAATATCACCCTGGTCATGACGTCATTATCACGCATGTATATACAAGATTTACAAGCGCAATGTTTTGTTTGAAATGAAGTGTAATATCTTTTATACCAAAAACGATATAGAAAATCCGTAAAAGGTTTTAAAATATTAATAATGAATTCCTCTTCCAAATGGGAGAAAATTGCTTTTTATTGCTATATCCGTTTTAGAAATTTCCAGCCAACAAGATAGGTTATAGAATGCCAATATGACCCCCAAACAAAGACCAACAAACATACTAAATCTTATAAATCTAGCTTATAAGACAGCATTAACAGCTTTTGCCATTTTCAAACATTTAATTACGTATAGGGACAAGCGTATGTGTGTCTTTATCACCTGCATATGTATATGTTGCGTGCATATGCATGTTGCCATATATACTGCCTTAAGTTTGCATTATTGTAAATTACCACCCACGGCTCGTTAGATATCATAAAGACTCTTATACTGCTCCATATAAGAGCTCCTAATGTATGGAACTGCCAAGAGACACTAGAGAGGTTCAGATATGAGTTTCACTATCTCTCACTGGCTTAGTGCGCATCTCATTAAATATATTGGTTAATTCGATATATCAAACGCATCTGATTGGTTAACGATCCCGTAATGGTAGCGGTAGTAGAAATCTGAGCCTCTCTACTACAAAATCCCTGGCGTCCTTTAAAGCCATTTTTTTATTTAAGTATTACTCGGAAGTCGGAACTCACGATCTGAAGGGCCAAGAACATTCAAATCTGAGTGTGTCAAGTGCCACGCAACTCGTTCTCTTCACAGCCTCACTGTGTTAGTCTGGTTGTTAAGTACTATGACTGTGTACTGTTTCTGTTAGAACGTTTTAATTTGAATTTTTTCTGTGTTGGTGTAGTGTACTCAGGTGAATATGATATTTGTGGTGTTACTCTGAGTGTATATCCATACCGGGCGAGCTTGAAAAGTATGCCCGGCCACGGTGGGATTCGAACCTACGACCTTAGGAATACTAGCCCAATGCTCTTCCAACTGAGCTACGCGGTCAGGACGGTTCGAGTAAGTGATATTTCAGAACAGGATCTAGTTCCTTCAATACCAATGTATTCTAGTAATATGAATTTTTTCGAATCCCACCGTGGCCGGGCATATTTTTCAAGCTCGCCCGGTGTGGATATACACTCAGAGTAACACCACAAATATCATATTCACCTGAGTACACTACACCAACACAGAAAAAAAATTCATATTACTAGAATACATTGGTATCGAAGGAACTAGATCCTGTTCCGAAATATCACTTACTCGAACCGTCCTGACCGCGTAGCTCAGTTGGAAGAGCATTGGGCTAGTATTCCAAAGGTCGTAGGTTCGAATCCCACCGTGGCCGGGCATATTTTTCAAGCTCGCCCGGTGTGGATATACACTCAGAGTAACACCACAAATATCATAACGTTTTAATTTGTTGTTGTCAGGTTGCGACCCCGTTATTGGAGAGTTTGTCTCTGTGGTCAGAACCTGCCATCTCGTATTTACTTGTCATTATGTTATATAATGTATGTTTGTATTGTCCGGCAAATCTTACAAATAAAATATAATAAATAAATAAAATAAAATAAAGTAAAATATATATAAGCTCCAGCGGGTGCAAAATCACTGGCGAACTCTTCTAACAAATGTGCTTCTGCCTTCTGGTACAAGCCTTTGGCAGTAAATCACAATAGTGACAATACCTTCATTATTATGTCGATGACACCTGAACGAACATAACTTCGCAATTTTGTCATAACACCATTTTGACGATTATTTTCTTCAACTTCCTCCGCATTCAACACATCGTTTTTCAGGTTTGGCTCGATGAGAGCACTGTTATTGTCGGGTTCATCCATATAGTATACTGTAGTCTGTGCTTGTTAACGTCGGCCCTTTATTACTTAGCTGAAATGAATTTCCTTACCACCAGACGTGGATCTGTTGTATCTACTTGGCAAACGTTATATATATACTAAGTTCAGTAAGTTGCAAAATTACACAAAGACCTTTTTTGTCTGTTGATGAAATGAAATAATATCCTTCCAATAATTACGTCATGAATACCCTGGCACCCTCCCCTGGGAACGAAATTGGAAGCCTGCTCGTTCTCATGAAACAAGAACGAAAGGCGATTGGCGCACTATTTGAGAATGCGGAGAATCTCGGCTAATGAGAGAGTTGTGACGAAGTTTCAGTATCAGAATAGCGTATGACGCTGCTGAATTAATTAATGCCGAAGGGAAAGGCCCATATAGCAATGCAGCATCAAGTTTCATGATTTTCATCATGTTAAAAAAATAATGTGTTTACTAAGACATTTTTTACAACTAAACCGTTGAACTCTTTGCTTTTCAATTCAGTGCTTCCTATACACATAGTCCTGGCAATTGTTGTCATTGCCATGTAAACAACGTCAAGATCCTTCATGATGAAATAATGACATCATCCGAGTAAGACACAATATGGTAATTATGGCGCGATTTTACCAAATACTATCAGCGCTAATGAGAAAACGGCGAAAAATCTGGGAGTGGATTACACGGTAAACAGCCGTTATTGCCCTTATCTTGAAGCCTGTTTTTCGATCCCTGTTACGACGAAGCAAAAATCCGACTTTTTTAGTGAAACTGACACAGTATGGAGAAACACTAGGTCAAAGCCGACTCTTGACTCGAATATAATGTTACGAACCAAACAGTAATAAAATAAGTAAACTGACGCAATAAACGGCAAGAGTAAAACAGTAAAATTGCCAGCAATTTGAGGTAATTTATTTTTAAAATTTGCTTAGCAAAACGGCAGCAAAAATGCTGCAAACAAATCACACATTCAAATTTCAAACTCTCGTTCGTGTGCCGTCAGCTGCCGCGTTATTTTCGCTGCCGACGTGTGTCAGCGTGCAATAATTTAGAAATAGACAGGGGCGAAACTAGCACTTTTAATTAGGGGCGTGTCTGGCAGAATTGCCCTGCCAAAACCAATGATGCCCTGCAGCGCCAGCGCTAATACAATACATCACTAAGCTACGTGTATACTTGAACTGCCGATGCAAATGTACATGCATACGAACTGCTTATTGTTTGCTAACTTTGCTAGCGGTAATAAGTTACTTAATAACTCTACATTCTATCATTTAAAATCTTTGATTGCCGGCCAATCGGGTTGATTCGAATTTGGGGGGGGGG